GTTGCTTGGACTAACAAAATATGCTCAGTCGGCATCTGCCTACTTCCTCATTAGATACCTCCTATCTCGTCTTGATTTCGACCCAGAAAGCCAAAAGAAAGAGGAGCAACGACGTAAGTCGGCTGCTATTCTACGGAGACTCGATGGAGGAGAAGAGTCGGATGAAGATTCACCACGCAGAGAAGGCAAGCGGGGACGGAGACAAAAGCGCGGAGACCTTGCCCTCAACCAATACGAACAAGCGATCGCAATGGATGTTGTTGCCCCAGACGACATTCCCGTATCATTCGAGGATATTGGAGGCTTGGACGAGATCATCGAGGAGCTGAAAGAGTCTGTCATCTACCCACTAACCATGCCTCACCTCTATTCATCTACATCTTCACTCCTTACAGCCCCGTCGGGTGTTCTGCTGTATGGTCCTCCTGGGTGCGGAAAGACTATGCTTGCCAAAGCGCTTGCTCATGAGAGTGGAGCATGTTTCATTAACCTACACATATCAACTCTGACAGAGAAGTGGTACGGTGATTCGAATAAGTTGGTCAATGCAGTCTTCTCTCTAGCCAGGAAACTGCAGCCTTCCATTGTCTTCATTGACGAGATAGACGCTGTGCTTGGTACTAGGCGGAGTGGGGAGCACGAGGCAAGTGGTATGGTTAAGGCAGAATTCATGACCCATTGGGACGGCCTTACGTCGGCGAACTCGTCGGGTGAACCCCAGCGGGTTGTTGTGATGGGAGCAACAAACCGCATACAGGATATCGACGAAGCCATTCTCAGGCGGATGCCGAAAAAGTTCCCGGTCGTCCTTCCTCCAGCACCGCAACGACTTCGAATCCTTAGCCTTGTACTTAAAGATACCAAGGTAGACCGGGAGAATTTTGACCTCGACTACCTTGTTAAAGCCATGGCCGGCATGTCAGGCAGTGATATCAAGGAAGCCTGTCGTGATGCAGCTATGGCACCAGTTCGAGAGCTCATTCGTGAGAAAAAGGCTGCTGGTCTCCAAATGAATACCGTCGACCCCAAAGAGGTCCGTGGTCTTCGAACAGAAGATTTCTTCACACGTGCTGGGGGTGTTCGGGTTATTCCCCCGCCTGCACAGCTGCAGGCGTCCATAAAGGCTAGCTCGGAGAAAGAATGGAGTACAGAGTCTGAGGCGACATCTGAAGTTGACACACGGCCATCTGCTGAAATGGCGGAGCCGCCGGAGTGAACTGTCTGAATCTCGTGTACTTACCGTGATAGTCGCCTGTCTTGTATACAGCACGAAGGGAATGGCGTTCTGTGTTTTTGAGCATATTACCGGATATTTAATGGCTTCGTCGGATATGGCTATCATATGTGGCAATTCCCACCCCATCCTGGTTAAGAAGTCTGAATACTGTTTATAGAGTATTTTTGATGGCTCCTCTGTCTTTGGTATTATCTTTAGCGGAATCTCCCAATGGATTAGATGAACGAAGTTTCACTATATATTAGACAGGATAAGAGTATATCTGGTGCATAGAGAAGCATTTGTTATGCAATAAGTCATGTTATTAGGGTTGGCGTAAGCCATTGCACCACAAATGGAGGGAATTCGCCGATCTGCGGCTGGTCGGGCAATACGGTACCGTACATCATCCAGCGGTGGCCAACTGGAGGCAGAAAAGCAACCTAGGTATGGGTATGATAAGAGCATGACAAGTTCGACTGGGAAAGGATCACCTCTTGCCGATCGAATGTTCCGAGCACAATTTTTGTCTTTTTCTTTCATGTCGCTTCCTAGGTTTCTCTACCTCTTTTTTTTCTTTCTTTTTCTTTTTTTGGGGTCACTCCCTTTCTCTTAATTTTTCCCCTTGGCAGAATCCTGAATGACCTATCTAATCTCAGCGGGCGCCTTACAGTCCCCATTTTCTTAACCTTTTACATAAGACTTGGACCCGCCCCGCCGTGAGTGGACGACGTCTGGACTTGCTAGACTTGCTACTAAACTCGGGGGCAGTCGTCATCACAAAGGAGGTTAAACCACTAATTTACCCTCTTCCCTGCCGCATCCCGCGCGCCCCAACTAACTAATCCGCAACCCCCCCATACTCCCTGCTCAGCTTTCGATTGTTTCCCCAGTTCGATGTCCCTGATTCTCTGGACTGTGCGTCATACCGGACTCCAATTCACAGTGTGAAGATCATCATTTATTGGACGGATTGTTGAATTTCACCTACCCTAGCACGCTAGAACGCCGCTTAAGGACACGGATGCGATAGGGACGGAGACTGGATGACGAACGTTGTGCTATAGGGCCTTCCCATGGCGCTTTGCGTTTGGCGATCATTCACCCAGAGTTTCTTTCCCTTAGAAGAGCTGATGACATTCTCTTCCCTCGGATATAATCGTGATTATCGTCGTCAGGGATGAGTTCCAGTACCAGCTTTGCCGACACCCTCAGCCCTGGGACAAATGGTACGAACGCCTCCCGCAGGTCCACCTCAACCGTGCGATCACGCCCTCGCCGTTTGGTATCGTTTACCGATGATGACGAAAGTGATAATGGAAGGCAGCTGGAACCCTCTGGGTTGTCCACCACCCTGTCCTCGGACCTCCCAGTGCCTCGGTCTCGCGGTGCCACCCCGTCACCCTACACCTCCCGCGGAGTTTCGCCAATGCCCATGAGACATCCTTCCCGTGTCATATCTTCGCCTGGCCGCGGTGCGAGTAGCTCGTTAGGTGGATTCAGCTATACTGGCAAGAATCAAGTTAACTTCGCGGAGTCGTCGCGAGCCGCCGTTGACTTTCTGGATGCGTCTTGGTCATCGTTACAGAGCTTGGCCTCATCTGTGTTGGGAAGTGATACTGCACGGCCTGCCACCAATGGAGCGGCGCGGACACATGCCAGGAAGCCCTCGCGCCCCGATTCATACATGGGAAATCCGTCGCGGAACGTGACACCCTCGTCGTGGGGCCCAGCAGCACCGTCTACCTCCGCAATTGGTGCTGGAACTAAGGAAGAACGGCAAGCTTTTGTTCAGGCAAAGAAAAGGGAAGCATTGCTACTAGCGGATACAGAGACGAATGGAAGTCTCAATGCGAAACACAAACGACGTGATTCTAGTGATCGAACGGGCCATTTGACAGCAGGTTCGAACCAAGACGAGGAAGCTCTGGCGTACGTACATCATGTCCAGCCGACGGACAGTATAACGGGGGTAACGATACGCTACGGTTGTCAGCCTGCGATATTCAGGAAGGCGAATGGATTTTGGCCCAGCGATAGTATTCAAGGTCGGAAGACAGTTCTTTTACCAGTTGATTCTTGCTCAGTCAAAGGGCGACCCATTCGGCATGACCTTAACCTGGTGGACGCTGAGAGTTCCAGGCGTGACTATCTGGAAGATCCAAGTGGGAGCTCAATAGCTCCGAGTACGGTTTCAGGGCCTCGCGAACAATCTGAAGCAATCCCGAATGCTCCCTCAGAGGTGGAAGCTGACCAAATATGGAAACACGAGTCCTGGGTCCAGATTGACGGCTTCTCTGCGCCTATAGAGATTGGCCGTGTCCCACGCAGGGCGTTAGGCTTCTTTCCGCGCTCAAGACGGAAGTCTGTTTCCTATACTGATTCCGAGAGTCCTTCATTCTCTGGACGCGAGAGAACGCCAACATTATCCTCGACTTCTTCAACTATTGAACCTCAGCCTTCGCGCGATACACCTATCACCGGAAATAGACCTCACGCGGACTCGTCAGGGTCACGGACATCAGCCAAATCTAAGCCTGCCGTGCGCCATCAACGTCAACGCAGCAATATACAATTAGCCGGGCCGGGAGTTGGCACCCTTGATCGTGACACAATGGCTCCTGGGCCGGCTCTCGACGGTTTGAGTAAATTCTTTGCCCAGCATCTACCGAACCTAACCCCCACTCCTACTCCACCGAAATTTCAAGATTCCACCGAGTATACGACTAATGCCGTGTCCAACACTCCCACCGGCTTGGATAATATAGGTGGTGCAGTCGAGGGTTGGGTTAGGAAGATGACCAGCCGAGCAAAGGCTGGGTTTAACGAACTGCAGCAGAGCACACAAGGCCACCAAATAAATGGCACAGCCCATCGACCTTCGAGGCGAGGGGTGGGAGACCTGATCGAGCTTAATGATGGATTAGAATCTCGCGACAGCTCAAAGATACTGAGACCTGAGTTCAACCGATCCGGGACAAGTCTTCACGACGGGAGCTCAGTGAGAGGCCGTTTCCATAGTCCTTCAGCAGGGACGAGCAGGACTCGTGCTACTGGGGACAGGTTCAAGGATGATTGATGTCGAATATAATATTGCTACATGGTTAACCTTGAAGGCCAAGTAGCCGTCTTTTCTTTTTCTCTCTTTTTTCCCCCTTTTCAAACATTTTTCTATCTTATTTTTGGCAATCCGTTCGGGCAGCGGCAACGATAGGAACCAGTTATAGTTTTGTGGGTCTTTGTGATATAAGATACCTGACCTTCCATGTACGCTTTATAGCATAGCGCGGCGCAACAGGAATATACTGTTGGCGAGTTGATGATACGTTGTAATTGGTCCTTGGATTATACAATTGGCTATTAGGATTGGTGTCTTTGCTGTGCTCACTCATTGTTTATTTAGCAACTTAGATTCCCTTTGTGTTTATGTATGGACTAGAGATGTCGAGTACTGGCATACGTTTGGGGGAGCATTCGGGGTATTAAGCATAACTCAATTCACTTGTCCATACAATTGGGGTCCTCTGATTATGTTCAGAACCACCGCGATTCTGCCGCATTTCACCGCCTGTCGTAGGTTGCCATCTCCTTAAAGGATAGCGATGCCCTGGTTGGGCTTGATCGGTCCCGGAGGGAAACAAGCCCGCAGAATCTGAGACCCCTAGCTTTACTGTCTTTGGTGTCTGATAGATATCTGGTCGTGGCTGATTTAATATCTTGGATGTCAGAGTAACCGTGTTTGGTGTGTTGTCTTAACGCGCCAATATATAATATTAGCACCGCCATGCCTCATCAAAAGACCACGCTTCCAGTCCTTCGGGGTACCACTACATCGGAGTCAGCTATCGGAGAGGAGGAAGATATGTTCCTTGACTTGGACTATCCTGAGCAACGAATAGAGCTTTTTGTGTTGTTGTACGGCAATCGTGGAGATATCGAGGACTGTGCCATATCACCTTGGCCTAAGTCGGTCAGAGACCTGCCGGCTTGGAGACGTAAACGAAGGGGTACAGGGCAGCTTCAACGTTTGTATCCCAATTTATATCAATAAATAGGGTCAGCAACCAGAGAAGCGAGCTCTCGTTACGTTCCACTTACCGTACATAGGGGAATCCAAATACCCCGGCAATGTGGACGAAAAGCTCCGCTGCGAAGCTGCAGCTTCCATTTGGATAAAAGAGCATTGCCCAGAGCTTCCAACGCCTCAGCTATGGGGCTTTGAACTTTTGGTGGCCAAAGTGCATCAGAGTTCAACTGATTACCACCTCTATCTTTTCTAAGACTATTTCTAACACTATGCAGTTTACGAAACTGAGAATACCCCCTTGACAACTAGGATCCCCTGGTATTTCAAAGGATACATATCGTGGCTTTCGGGTCTACTCCATTGTGTAACTATGTTTGCCATCGTCATCTAACTATGCTGGAAAGCGGATACTTGCTCATGGATTACGTTGGTAACTCGGATATGGAAATGCTATGAGAGACCTGCGACGAGGACTATCATTACCAAGACAAGAGGATCAACCTCTTCAGGGGTTTGTCCCGCATTATGCTTTCCTGAGCCAGATACCACTACCTCGTATAGGATCTTGGACACTAGGCCAGGATGGCGCCTCGCGACTCCCGAACCGCCCTCTTTTCAACTTTATCAATTAGAGAACGGTGGCATTCCCACCAATATCGGCCAGATACTGACATATCCAGCAACGGACACATACTATCTTGATCTTCTGGCTTGCCACGATAGCCGAATCCGACATCAGCCAAATTCACACAGTGATGAGGATGACGGTCGAGCACAGATGGCAAGATTAACTATCCTGTGGGCACTTCTACCCCGATTTACTGAATAGTTTGATCCTGACATGGTACTCAGACACAAAATTCGTGGCATATAGCGTGGAACCCACAGTGTCAATTTGCCCATCCCGAGGGTTGTATCGTACTGGGCTGCAGACACGGAAGTGATAGCTGCCAAGCTCCGAGGTACGGAAGAGAATTTACTGAGAAGATTGCATCAGCGATTTGAGGAAGCCGCTGTTATATTTGAAGATGAGATCAGCAGGACCCTTGATATGCTCACCTCGTCATTCTTCCTTTACATGCTCTGCCATTACTGTCTTCCGGTCATAGCCCCCTACGCCGAAGATGAGAGTCAGTAGTCCTGCGGGGTTGATGGTTCCTTGGATCAAATACCGCATGATAATCATAGTAAGGGTTCGAAAATGGGACAATGATACACTCACAATATCCACCTGGCACCTATCCTAGGCTCCCTAAGATGACGTTCCTCCACCGGGGCTTCAACACCATGGGGGTTCTTGAGTCTCGTACTGCCACAAAAGACGACGGCAATGAAAACTTAGTAAGGTAACTATATCGGCTTGACCCACTAGTTGTTAACGATATGTCTAGATTGCTGAAAGCCCGGCGGGGGCACTACCCCACACTATTCCCGGAGAATTTCTTCGTATTAAGCATAGATTTCCCCGTCAATCATGTTCCCGCTTCCATGTATCATAGCGCTAGGATGTCGAGGTATAAAAATGCACGTTGAAGAGGTAAGTATGGAAGTAAGGTTGTAGTCCAGGCTAACCATCATCATGGTGCTCACTAACCTCATTTTTCTGGCTACTACTACAGCGAAGTTCGTAACTGCACTGCCTTTGGAGAGTAACACGCCGCAATTGCCTCGCTCAGATGTGCACTTCAACGTCCAGCAAGCGGCTGCAGACGCAGTGCCTTTGAATAAACAACTGATGGGGCTGTCCATTGAGTAGGCTTCTGTTTCCATCTTCCACTGAATAAGACACTAACCGACCACCGATTCAGATTTGGGAACACAGTCGACTATTTTGGCGACTTGGACAATCCCAATGCCTTTTCAAAACAACTTCTACAGAATATCGTCGATCGATCTCAAAATCCAGCTATCCTACGCATAGGTGGCAATACTCAAGATCGAGCTAGCTTTTGCGAGAACTGTACCCAGACAATGAGTAGCCTCGTGCTAAACGACCCAAACGACCCGAAGGGGACCGAGGCAGTCAAGGTCACGTTCAACAAGAATTTATTCAATGTCCTGACGGACAACGTACCAGCTGGAACTCCGATCATTTTCGGGCTCAATTTTCGCAACAGTATGTATTTGTTCTTCCTGATATATGGGTTGCTGACAGCTCTCACCACTCCACAGACAGCTACAGCCTGGCTCAAGCTGAGATCGATGGTGCCTTCAAGTACATCGACCAAGATCTGGTTATGGCGTACGAACTAGGCAATGAAGTGAACCTCTATGGAGACTTTCGACCACCAGACTACGACGTGAATGATTATGCCAGTCAAATGCGTGAATGGATACCACGTCTCAGGGCTCGCTCGTCGGCTGCTTCGAGCTTCCAGTTCCCGTCATTTGCAGGCCCGGAATTATTCAAGCCGGATATGAGTATCTCGGAACTAGTGAGATTGGGCGTACCACAGTCTATTCCAGGAATTGAATACTTCTCTGTCCATGGCTACCCTTGGAACATATGCACGGGTATGTTTTCCTCATGCCCATGTTCTGTTGTTGCTTTCCCTTTCCCGTCATTATTCCGATTCTCACCTTCCTCCGAATTAAACCAGACGAAGACGCAGCCAAAGTTGACCTAAGAAACCTCCTCGACCACCAACAAACACTAGACCTCCTTGACCAATACAGCAGCCAGATATCTGCCGCGAAACCACTCGGAAAGCTGATGCACATGGGCGAAACAGGCTCGGTTGCATGCCACGGAAAGGACGGGGTGTCAAATACGCTTGGAGCAGCACTCTGGCAACTGGACTACGCACTCAGCGGAGCCACAGCTGGGATTGATCGATTCTTCTTCCATAACGGTAAAGGCGACTTCTACTATTCTACATGGGAGCCATGGCCGACGGAGACATCGCCGGTTCCCCATATTAACCCTACGTGAGTTTCCTGTAATGTCCACTTTAGATACGTTATGTTTTGCCCATAACTGACGCACAGAGGGAAAATAGATACTATAGCATGCTCTTCATTGCGGATCTCGTAGCAAATCTCAATGCTCCCAGGGTTGTGCCAATCACATCGCTTGATTCTAGTTCCGCTGTGCATTTAGCTATTTACGACAATGATAAGATCCAGAAGCTCGTTCTCCTGAATCTGGAGTACTTCAATGAGACAACTACCCGATCGAGTAGGGAGTTCAACGTTGCCTCTAGTCTTGGGTCCAATTTAAGGATCAGACGCCTGACGGGCCAAAGTTCCGATGCAAGAACTGGCGTGACCTGGGCTGGTCAGAGTGTCGATGGGAGCGGCGAGATCACAGGCGACTTGAACATTGAGAGTGTCTCGACTGGTATCGTGACACTGCTCGCTTCGGAAGCTGTCATAGTAGAACGAGGGTGGTCCTAGGACCTACTATATAACAGGAATCAAAATAAACTAGGCAATAAAAGATCATACAACGGGATATTCTTTGTATGATTAACTAGTGTTTATAATACCCGGTACTGATCTATATTGAATCACAATCAATTTACTAGGATATTACTAACTATAGAATACCTTGGCTAAACGAGTATACAATTCTTGTAGTTCAATAATAAAGGCCTAAATACTCACCCAAAGTTGTAAATTGGAGCGGAGGTGGCCAGCTCGGTGGTGGTGTACGTTACCAGTGGAGTCTACTAGTATGTAGTGCTTATAAGGGATATGCGTCCAGAACATCTCTATATTCAGTCACTGCATGCCTTCAACACTATGTGCCCCAGAAACGACCCTCCGTCATAGTTGGCGAGGATGCTAGTTCAAGTATTACAATATGAGTTCCTAGCCACTTCGACTTTCAGCACCGTCCATACACCTATCGCTATTGCCCTACCACACAGAGCGCCACAAAACGGCCTCAATGGCACCTGAAAATTGATCAAACTGCTCTTGGCTAATGATTTCATAACCAACACAGGCATTGTCGTAACTCACCACGCTAACCGTAGGAATAGCCTTTCAAATCTGGGTCGCCTGATTCTTGGCGCTAGGTGTGACCTCGACTTTTACTGTTAGGTATGCGGCAGTAGCCGATATAAGAACCTTTTGATTGGGAAGCTCGGCATCTCTTCCTGGGGCGCCTTAAAGACCAAGGGTGGCCTTAAACGGCCATGGGTGGTTTTTAAACGACCAGCCAGGACTTTAGAGCCTTCAGAAATCCTCAACTTTTATCTCAGTTCTTCTTCTTTCCAGCTATTCTCAAACCACCCTCCCCCCCCCACCAAAACACGCTGAAATCACTATACTATATGCCTCGTGAAACCATCGAATTCCAAACGGCCGACCATGTCACCTTGCGAGGCTGGTTCTTCCGTCCTTCAACAGAGGCATCGGAAACAAAGCTGCCTTGCCTTGTTATGTCTCATGGGTTCTCGGCTCTGAAAGAAATGGAATTGGACACGTTCGCGGAATATTTCATTCAAAATCTGCCCATCAGCTGTCTAGTATATGATAACCGAGGTTTCGGCGACAGTGACACCAAGGCAGGCCAGCCTCGTCATGAGATCCTCCCTAGTCAACAGACAAGCGACATATCAGACGCCATCACCTACGCACAATCGCGAGCTGACGTTAATCCAGATCGCATTGGCATCTGGGGAAGTTCTTACAGCGGCGGGCATGTGCTGTGGGTTGGAGCAGTTGACCGGCGAGTTAAGGTGGTGCTCTCCCAGGTTCCGTTTGCAGATGGGTGGGCAAATATGAACCGACTCATACGGCCTGATATGATGGAGGCAGTAAACAAAACATTCCAGGAAGGTATGAAAGTCACTCTAGGGGGTGGCTAATGCTTAACATTTTCACTGATTGTTACTTTAGACAGATTAGCTCGGGCCGCAGGGAAACCCGCTGCGATGATGAAAGTGGTAGATGAAGATCCGTTGAAACCATCTGCGCTTCCCACTCCAGATAGCTATCAGTTCTTTACTGCATGGGAAGCGAAGTCAAACTGGAAGAATGAGATTACGATGAAAAGGTAATCTCACAACGTTCACTCCACGCAACCTGATGGTCCCCTGACACTGACCTCTCTGATCCAGTCTTGAGGCTGCTCGCGAGTATTTTCCTTCAGCACATATCCACCGTATCGCACCAACCCCGCTGTTGATGACTGTGGCAGAGAATGATGTCATTACTCCAGTTGATCTTGCTCTGGAGGCGTTTTCTCGGGCCCGAGAGCCAAAGAAATTGCAGATCACTCCAGGAGGTCATTTTGATGGCTATACCGGTAAAGGCTTCGAACGCAATGCATCGGCCCAAGCGGACTTTCTGAAAGAACATTTGGTTGGATAGCTTCTTGTCATCATAGGTTTCTTCAATGATGTTAGTGGGAATACAATGCAACGCTTCTGGTTTGTATAAGTCCGAAGGACCTGCTACCAAAACAACTCAGAAGGGCTGGATAACAGAGTAAACAAAGAAGATCACTATTCCTGAGAAGGTCATAGTAAGGCACGTAAGATACATACAGCAATCTCTAAGTTGAGATTGGCAGACATTCGTTTATAAAGAAGTGATCTTGGACCACCCATAGCCCCATGCCGCCATGATGTAGTAGCTATTTTTATACGGTCCCTATGCCACGTGCCATTCAAAATTTATAGCACGAAAAGTCGAAGGCCCAAAGGAAAGAAAGTAGTGAGTGGTAGAGCACAGCACGATAGATACTGTGTTGATGGTGCCAAAGGAGGGCCTGATAAGGGAAGCTGAGTATCAGGTAGACCAAGGCTTTTGACGCCGTAGAAAACAGGCAACCCTACAAACAGTACCATACCTCCCAAGTTAGGGTAAGGGCGCCAAATGCCCGCAAGTTCAACGAGTCAACAACGACCAGTGAGAAAAAACTTTTTCCTCAGCTATATTTCTGGTGAAGAGAATCCGCATCCTCAATACTGACCTCTTGGACTAAAACACTCTCTCAAGGACGATCTTTTGAGATAGGCGTTTTTTTAATTAAGCACTTCGATTGGTTCGCTCGGGAATACTGAGTAGTCCGTGCGGATATCCTGCTATTTAAATTCGATGGAGAGATCGAATCTACAGCAACAATTAATCTGCCAAGAATAAGGCCACCTCCATCGTCTATGTACGATTAATACCACAATAGTACCCCAGAGCCGGACCTACAGCGTCGGGGGGTCTTTAGTTTCTGGGCCCCTGTCGGGTTTGATCGCATACGGTTTCCCTAGTATTTTGTGTACTATACATCCACCTCGACCACAGCCTGAACACGGTGGGGTGATTTCTCTGAATAGACGTGCTAAAGCGTAATCCCTAGAATTCAACCATGCGTGACGTGCAGAATATCTACTATGCTGCTGAGTCTGCTTGTTAACTGGTGGCTGTTGAAGTTATGGACAAAGAATATCATATTTTGTTTCATAAGAACCCAAAGCTTCCATTCACAAACATAACGCTATAGTATACTATTGTTAAGATAAAAGCCCATAACTATGCACCATTGACAGCATCGAACATCACAAGCTTGATATCGTAGTTCAGCTCAAGACTAGCCTGAGGGTCGCCCTTGCGGGGCACAAAGTCTACCACGAGAGAATCCTTGACCGCGAAGACGGAGTCGTTGTCCAGGTATTTATCTTCACGGTCGAAGATTTGCGTGGTGAGAGGACGGTAGCCATTGTGCATGGCCTGGATACCTGGCATTAGAATTGAAAATAAAAGAATAGAGGGAACGTACAATGATGTGAATGTGAGCTGGCCGGAAGGGATGCCGATCCATCAGCTCGAGGAGCTTGCCCTCAGGTCCTATTATCGTCAGTTGCCAAACGTAAACCCGGTATACCCAGTATATATCTCCTCTCTGGAGAGGGAGACTGAGAAATACATACCATCATTAGGGACAGGATAGGGCGTCGGCCTCAAACAATAAAAAGAATATCTACCCTCCTCACCCGTCTTGAATTTGCCGCGTAGGTTAAACTCCTCCTGTATGGGGTCTTGCTGCTCGTACAACCCATTGGTCGAGGCCAGCCACACTTCAACCGTCGACTCAACGAGCGGCTTCTTACTCGCGAAATCCAGTACCTGCCCATGCATAAATACCATCTCCCCATTAGCGGGCTTCGTCTTAACAATATCCTCCCCATTCTGGCGCCACGGCGTGTCAGCACGGAAAAACGGGCCCAGTATAGCAGTAGCAATTGGTGCATCTTTAGCTTCTCCGGCGCGGGTGAAAGTAATTTCGTCGATGAGACTTTTCCCCCCCTCACCAATTACCAGTTAGCCCAGTAATTCGTGTTACATTACATTTGCCAGATAATGTATATCAGTTTCATGAGGGAATAAGATTTACCTCTCCAATCCAATCACATCGCACAGCAGCTGCCCCTCATTCCGCCTGTCGTCGCTCGTCTGTCCGGCCCAGTTGAGCAGCTTCACGCCCGCCAACCACTCGTCCACTGTGAGCTCATTCTCGCGCGCAAAGTCGTGCACATGTTTGATGAGCCCTGTCATTAGCTGACGCAGACGTGGCGAGGTCTTGGGACCTATAGCGTTGATGACATTTTTGGTGAAGTTGGGGTCAAAGCGGTGCGTTGCCATATTGAGTACTGAAGCGGATGTGGGTGATGTCAAGATGGGTAGTTAATTGTAGGAAAGAAGAGAAGTGAGATTTACCATATAGGGGCAGTGTCTCCTTTATTTATATTGGTCGACCAAATGAATCTGACGGAACGCCTTACGAGATAACTCGCTTCCTAAAATTAATCTTGTATCCTTTCATGATATTAATGAATATTTTCCTGTATTACGGCACTATAACATACCTTGCAACCGAGTACTAGGGGAGGACGAGCCGCTTCCATAGGTTCTTGATTGAATCAGTTGAACGGTGAGGTTGGATGGACCAGTGAAGATCTTGCTTAGTAGCATTGCAACTTTCTATCTGTTTGTAGTCTATGTGTGACTCCTACCAATGCAGAACAGAGTATAGAATTGTTTGCTATGGAGGGCAGGTTGTTTGATAACGCGTTGGATAGGATTCCTTGCCTACCATATATCCCTCAGCCAGGCGGAGCTACCTTGTATTAATCTAGAGATGGTTTAGTATATTGTCACTCTCTAAGCTGTGTTAATGCATCTTTGCTTCCTTGCTGCTTAAATCATGCCTGTAATCAAATTCCACCGCATTCGACGCCCGTAGAGTTTCACTCCTGGCTCTCATAGCTCTGGATACGTTGGGCCAGCTGTTGCAGCGACAACTCATCCTCGGCCCCTAAAGTGATTGCACCGTAGCTTCGGTCCTTGGTCTCATTCTGCGCCCATCCTATGATTATGACGCGGCCGCTCTGCAACTCCTCCTCAAAAGCCTTCTCGAATACTTCCTGAGAGCATCGAAAGTAGTGTTTTAGCATCATTGCTTCCCAAAGACCTCTCCGAGTAAAGTGTCCTTGGAGGGGCCCGAAATGATACGTTCCGGTAAGGCGAACATTGAGATCCACAACATATTTGTTTCCGGACTCATCGGTCAACACATCTGCTCCTGCTGGTCCATAATAACCGTTATCGTGTAGGAACTGCGCTACCTTTGTCGCAACCCCCGAGTATTCCTTTTCGAGTGAAGTCTGCCTCTTGTAGGACACGATTCCGCCGGTCCACTCGCCCTTCTCATTGAATATCTGATCAGAACATGTAACAAAAACTGCACGGCCCGTTTTTGTGACAAATATTGACAGAGACATTGTCAATCCCCGTATAAACTCCTGGACCACTAGTGAGCCGGGGAAGAGGTGTTGGTTAGATTTATTTGTTCGCCTCAACACATGCTGTAACCATGGACAAAGTCGTGCCCGAAGAGCCTCTTTGTCTTCTTCGTTAAAGACCTTGAATGTTCCCATTCCAGATATTGTCTGTGGCAACTTTAGGATGTACGGGATTGGATGGGCATCGATACAGTCTACCATTCGCTGTATCTCTGTTTGAACGTATGCCTCATCTGAGACCAGATCTGTGTTCCAGGTGGGATCCACAACCGTGGTTTTGGGCATAGGCAAATTGGACATTGCCAAACCCCGTTTGGAGGCCAGTAGGTAGTGGCTATCAGGATCGATAGTGTGCGGTAAATGAGAGAAATTATCACTTGGTGCAATGACAGATATCCGGCCCTCAGGTGGGACTGTGATATCGGCGAAGCACCGAACTGTTTTACCAATTGGTCTTTGGCTTTCGTGTATCTTCTGAAAGGAGCGAAAGAGATTCGAAGTACTGTAGTCATTGTGCTCTGAGGTGCAGTAGCTGCCGGGTTTCCGTGAGTCGATGCCGATGACAGGAATTTTTCCTGCGGTGTAGCCATATCGTTGAGGAAGCACTTGTTGGTCCAGAGCTGAATTCTCGTGCTGCCTGGATCCAACTTCCCAGAAGGAATCATAAACAAAGCGCTCTTTCGGCGGACCACCAGAGCCGAGTCGTGGATTCTCCGTGAATGGTGGAAAGAAAACTAGTACAACCTTCGAAGCACTTCCGCCATCAAGATTGTATAAATCATGTAGTGTGTAGTCTAAGGAAACAAACCCTGGCCGACGCATGTTGCTAGAAGCTGATATGTTGGTAGAAGAGATAAGTTTGAAGATGTTGTATCAGGCATGCCTGTCTATATTTATATTCATTAGATGACATGAGAATATACTGACCACTGTGTATGCCTTGCCCACCAAATCTGCACAATATGGAGCGGTGATGCCACTTTCCATAACGGCGTTGCTTTCTGGGTCATATTTTGACCATACATGATATGTAGATCATTAGAAAGGTCGACCTCATAATCCAGACATTCGTGGCAGATCATCTTTAAGTTGGAAAAACGCGTCATACAGCCCCTTTTTTCTTTCATTCGCAATCCTTGCTAATGTGGTGTCAATCAAGAACGCAAGGGATTATGGCATCTCGGCATTTGCTTGTTGTATAGTTGCATACCGAGAGTATCCAGTAGATCAGCATGTCGCAAAAGGTTCAGGGTGTCCGCTCCCCACATCTCTATATTTATTCTTATTTTAAACAGAACTCTGTTTGGATCGTCTATTTCTAGACATACATAATATCGGCGTATATTACTCCGGGGAGAATAAAGGGATGTCTGATCAGCAGCATCAATCATGCTGGAACTGGAACATATATGCCCAAAACCTCGACGATTACGTGTTAAGGGAGCAAACCATATTAGGGTAAACTCCTTCTGGGTGTTGTCCTCATACCGAGTTTTGATAATACATAGTATCAGACATAAAATATATCAGCAAAAAGGCCACCCCATCGCACATGTGTAAGGATATGCAATCGCTATGACATGAGAGAGGTATAGAGTATTAAGCTATCATTTACTGATGTGGCTAACCTGAGTCAGTATAGTATGCAAGGGGGAATTGGCGGGCAAAAGATAATAATAACAACATTTTAGAGATGTATTGAGACATGATTTTAGCAATGGATATTCATGCAAGGGGTTGGCAGTTGCATTCATACCAAAACTTTCATTGTGAAGTAAGGTTGTGTAAGCTTACGTCGGCATCTAAGAATCAATATCCTTGATATCTGGTAACTAGAATGATATGGACACCTTGTTGAGGACAAAGGACAGTATAAGCTATTTTGTGAGCAACAGTAACCTCTTGTCTTCCAAAGGCATTGTATTGTTTGCGATCGACCTTTGCTATTGGCATACACCCCAATCGTTATCTTGGATATGGATACTGTTAACGATGTGTCATGGATGACCACCTTGACCAAAACCTTTGATATGACAACTAGAGAGGTTGACTCCTCCCTGGAAACTCTTAGAACGAAATACTCGTTCGAACATCTCGAACCTTATGCCCATCGACCAGAAACAAAGGAAGACCTGCCGTGGTCCGAGCTGGCCATGCTGCACTTGGAGGACATTCATCAGTCGAGAGGGAAACAGCGTTTAACCATGTAGCTCGCTCATGCTGTTCATGATGTGGGATTCTTCTACGTGAAGGACTTTGGTCTCTCTCAGGACCGGATCGATCGCCAACTTACCCTCGCGAAACACTTTTTCGACCTGCCTCTGCTAAAGGGCGTGGTGATCCCCAGCAGAAGACTTCCATGGGTATTTAGGAAGGCACCGGGCCTCAGAGAACAAAGAGGGTGGTTGTGTCGAGGCGTACAACATCCCTATGTTTATTCCTGAAAACGCAGGGAAACACACTCATCTAGAGTTAATCAATGCACACCTTGCCGAAATTGAAGACTTTTCCAAGCATGTCCACTAGGATGTAGTGCTTCCATTGATGGTGCTTTTGTCTCTCATCCTTGAGCTCCCTGATGGGAACCTACTCGCCCAACGACACAGCTATGAGAGACATATAGACCGTTCAGGGTATATCGGGAACAATCACTGTGAACATTGGTCACACTCTATCTCTCCTTTCCAATGGTTTCTTCAAGTCGACAATACACCGCATGGTTTTGCAGCCCCAAGACCAATGGATGTACAACCGTTTTGGACTGATGTACTTCACTCGTCCGCACAATAACATGCTGCTAAAACTATTGGTTGATATCTCCCCTGTCCTCCAGCAGTTCCAACCAGCCCCACAAGAAGAAAGCACTAGGAAGCCAATCACTATGATTGAATTTATAAGGGCCAAGCAGCACGCTCGGTTGAATCTTTTGCTTTATCAGGAAAAACACGATAAAGAAAGTAGCTACGAAATTCTTCCTGGCATTCATGATCGTGTCTATGCCTGAGCTATAATACAACTTGGTATAGTCCTATATAACATATGATACTACGAGATTGGAATATCTAACAAAGTTTGATTGAGAGAAGAAGGGGGGTATTTATGTGTTATGCATTATTTGTTTCCAAAAGTCCTTTGTATCCATGGGCCTGTAGTTCATAAAAAAGCAGTTTTGATGACAACAGAAATGGCCGTCCGACTACCACAGTATAGTGGTAGTATTCTTCTTGTTTTATAGCGTGACGATTTAGCGTTGTGACCTGTTTGCGGACCGAACTTTAGGGCCCACTAGTGGTACGTGGCATGTAGGCCTTACTACCCACAAGGCTATGCCTGAACTCTTCCCATAAACTGTGGCTGAAGCGCTTGAAATGAAAACCCTTCATGTAGAATTTAGGTTAGCTGTCAGCCTATAGATTCTATATACATCATCTCAAAAGGTTACACCATAGGAACACCTGGCTTGCATGCATAATGATTTTGCTACTCGCACAAAAGTCGACAGGGTGAATTCCTTCATGGATTCTCGCTATGGACTTTTGTGAAAGATCAACATGACTCCCGCCTAACAATGTGTAATAAGCAAGGGGTGTTTGAATGTAGGGAGGTATGCAGCCACCCGAAATTAAGTCTCGAATGACGTGAAATAGCTATCAGAAAACAATCGATCTATAATAATTTTCTATTAAAGCCATTGGCAGACGTACCATTGAAATTACGTCGTCATTAAAGTGCAAATAGAAAGAAGCGTAGCTCATATTCCCATATGCTTGTGTATTCCTTCTCTACAGATTCCTCGTTTAACTACCACGAGTAGAAAGCCTATGGACTACGAAGGACAGGGATGTAGATTGACAACCCTATTATAGACCACCCAAGTACTAAGGGGTGAACTAATAGGAACCCGGAATATTTTCTCGTGAGTGATGTTGATATGTTTAGTATATCTATTAGTCCCAACTTGCTAATTTCACCCAAGGGGTACAACTGGATGTTCTCCACACATACCCTTGCCTCTAAGAGCATAAACAACGTCTCTCATAACCCGGTAAATATATTAAATATACCTTGGCACAATCGTGTCCTTCCATTCCACCTTTCTCCGCAACTTCAAGCTCTACAAATTTATTCTAACCGTCAACGACCGTGTGGCTTGAATGAAAATGACGGCTATAGAAGAGAATCGGACACACAAGGAGAATGTCAGCCCCACACCATGGGAACTTGAACACCTTACTCGTGTCCCGGATGACATAAAGTGGACCATATACTTGGTTGCAGTGGCAGAATTGGCAGAGCGTTTTACCTACCGTTGTGTCACAGCCCCTTTGCGTAAGCTTTCATTGCTGTTTCTATCATAGGTCTCATTGCAAGCATTGATTATCTGATATTCATCAAGAAAACTATGTTCAAAATGCTCGCGAGGATCCATTGCGGCCAGGAGCATTGAATATGGTGAGCTGCCAGAAGAATGAACAAAACTCACATGTTTGCACTAATAATTCCTTGATATTAGGGGCAGGGTATTGCCACCTGCATTAGCTTTTTTTACATGGGCTGGACCAGTCTGGCCCCTGTTATAGGAGCCATAGTGGCGGACACTTGGATAGGAAGGTATTGGACAATTGTTTTAGGAACAGGGTAACTATTACCAAGTAGGGGCATATAGTTTAGTGCTAACCTAACCACAACTATATAGGTGTTCATGGAGTGGATCTTTATTGCTTTTCAGTACCTCATTCCCTGCAAGCCTTGATCAAGGGGCGGGTCTACCAGGTCTCCTGGTAGCTTTATTCTTACTTGGTCTGGGGTCAGTGATTCTTTGTATGACGAACAAAATTATTCTTTTACATGCTAAATAATCTACAGCTCTGGAGGTATCAGGAGCAATGTCGCCCCTCTCATTGCAGACCAATATGTGAGGAAACCGGTTCAAGTTCGGACGCTCGAAAATGGGACCAAAGTCTTGATTGATCCCGACCTAACAATTCAGACTATATATGGTCGATATTACTGGTCAGTCATACCGATGAAATCGATAATAATCGGGTATCATTCAATCGCTTAACATTCCCCAGGGTGGTCAATCTAGGACCTCTCGCTGTAATTCCAGCGTCGGTCAGTGTAGTTGCCATGTGGTGAATAGGAACCCTGCTGATCCATAGTTCTTGTTTGCAGTGGTTGGAGCTAAAGGTGTCCTTTTGGGCGGCATTCATGCTTCCGCTTGTATTCTGGTTACTCACTGTAGCTATATTGATCCCCTGCCGGGCATCCTACAGTACGACTTTTGGATTCTCTACCTGAATATGCTTGGCTGCACTAACACATCCCAATACTAGGTGTGCAGAAACCGCGCGGCTCTGTTATAATCCAAGCAGCCCAAGTTTTCTGGCTTGGTTTAAAAGGAGGTTTTAACCTTAACGCTGCAAAGCCATCGTGTATAACTGAGACACATTCAGCCTTTGCGGTTTCGTGGGATGACAAGTTTGTTGATGAGCTGAGAGTAGCACTTGTGGCATGTACGGTCTTGTGAGTTCTCAGCTCGGTATGCCTCAACTGATTGGTCCTTATCATAACTAATAATGCATTAGTTGTATATTGTGAGTATCAACCAGCTGGAGCCATCGTTGCCAGCGCTGATTATTAAAGTCCGATTTATTGGGTGTGTTATGGGCAGATGAACAATAGTCTAGTCAGCCAGGCTGCAGCAATGGAAACCTACGGGATTCCAAACGATATGAGTATGTCACACTAAATTTGCGTCCGGTTTATATGACAGTCATCTCTCAAGCGCTAATTCAAGTAAATAGTGAGTTTCTTCAATACTATCGGAGTTCTGGCATTCATTCCCGTAATGTATAGCAATCGGCGCCCCCTCCCCTTTAAACTGAATATCACAACAGCGTCCTGACAGCTCTTAGGGAAAAGTGCCTTTTCCCGGCATTACAGCGGCATAATATTGACTTTAAACCGATCAGTCGTATAGCCGTAGGCTTTGTGGTGATCTCTTGCGCAATGGGCTATTCAGCTGGGATTCAAGCACGTCAGTCACCTCATGCAGTATATCTCTTTATCGAGAGTACAACTAATCTGAGATATAGTGATATATAAATCACCTCCATGTTACGATCATCCTCTTCAAGGACCTTGCAGCAATGGAGGCACAACGCCAAATAATGTAGGTCAAGAATAGATAGCCCACAGTTTATTATAGCAAGGTCATGACAGAGGTACAAGAGCTGACACAGCCAGGTGAATGTCTTCCTCCAGATCCCAACCTTTGCCATGCTAGCAGTTACCGAAATCCTCTCGATTACTACTGGAATGGAGTACGCGTACACTAAGGCACCAAGGTCCATGCGAAGCCTTGCTGTATCTCTTTTTATCCTTATGAATGCTATTGGTTCCGCATTGGGAATCGCGTTATCCCCTGTCTCGAAGGATCCATCAATTCTCATAGAATTCGCTTCGTTGAGTGGCGTTATGTTCCTGACAGCTATTCTATCTTGGGTCTTTCTGGATAGGTATAATAAGAAGGAAAAAGAGATGAATAAGTTGCACGATGTAAATGATGGCTGAGGATGCATGCGACAAGCAATGCTGTTGAAGAGGGCTATGCCCAACCTTGAGCTATTGGAAATTAAAGCAGCGTCTGCCCTCCGTCTTCAAAACTTCCCTCTATGTATACAACAAGGCATTGTGAATCTTCCAATACCATTGTAGCATTAGTCTCTTCTCGGGTTATCACACAATCGCCGTTTGAATTTGGTGACGTTTACAGGGTTTTCGGTGATCGATTTCCTAACCATTGATAGAAAGAACAGATAGTCTAATTCTATATGGTGATCGCCATCACAACAACAAAGACTTGATTGACTTAACGATTCCATACTACGAAGAGACGGGTCAAGTTCAACCGGCGTTAGACTTAATCTGACTAGGTCGTCCCATTTATTCTGAGGGGAATGAGACAACGGAAGTGGACTGCCAGAACCGGCAATGTTAATATTGTTCCTCATGATCCTGATCAGTTTAAATCCCGACCGCGTTAAGACCGATTACTCTCCTGCTATCATCCTCTGTGAGCTAAAACCTTTGAGAGGGCCCTATCGAAGGCAAGTAATATAGCTAGAGAACTCTTCTTACTCTCCAGAAAGAAGGAACCATATCTGTAGTACGATCTCCCCTTAGGTGGATAATGCAGACACCACAATTCCGAGTTCTTTGTTATGGAGGGCAAGTGGTATAATTACGCGTTGGACAACATTCCCGCCCAAACCCTTGATACAGCTCTGTATTTAGATTGAAGCAAGTGCTATTTTCACAATTATGGATAGATTTATTAGCCAGATATATCAATGTATATATATATCAAAGTCTATACACAGAACGACATCTAATTCAAGAAGAATACAATCTCGAACCTGCAGAAACAGGCTTCAAAATCCCTGCCTTACCCAGTTCATCCACCAACTCAGCAAGCGCCCGATCGCAGCCTCGAGCCATTTGCAAGCCGATCGAAACAGGGAGATACTCCTTGTGCAATGTGATGGTGCTGTGATATGGCGACTCGCCCAATGGGACAACGACTTCGGGTGCGCCTGCGAAAATGGCGATATCGTCGTCTGTAAAACCGAACGGGGGACCAGGAGGGTTAAAGTAACGGTTACGGTAGTCTGCTGCTCCCGTCGCCCAGGCGTGTACGAAGATGCCTTCTGAGCAAGATTCATTGTCCGATCGTCCGTAGCCGGATGTCGACCACCAGTCCCGGAAGACAGTCATGTTCTGCAGGGCGGCGTCGTAGGATGCGTTTCCGCCGTTTGCTTGGCCCCATTCCCAGCGCGCCAAGGGACCGGGGTTAATGAATGGGCGGCGACCATCGTGGGCTTGGGCATAGTCTGCGAAGAAGCCTTTGGCGAGGTTGTTCCATTGGCCGACGCCGACAAGGTAGGCGTAGGTTGTGTTGAGAAGGTTGATCAATGAGGGTGAGTTGTGGGTTTCGGACCAACGTTCTGTGACGTTGACGACGGTGCGATTCGTATCGAGGAAATCCTCGAGTCTCTGCATGAATGTTTCGAGGTGTTCGTTTGCTTCAGGCGCGGTGGACTCGTCCCAGTTGCTGTGAGAGAGGTAAAGTTGCTTGGGGTGGGATGGATAACTGCGGTTGAAGTTGGGGTACCAAGCTTGGACAGTCTTGGACCATAAAGACGCGCTTCGTGCGAAGATACCGGCGGTATCCAGCGGGGGCGAGAGTGGCAGGGCGTTCTCCATAGTGATAGCTCCAGTTGATGGTCGGTTACCGTAAACACCCTGTACACCGGCAGGTCCGCGCATGGAACCACCCGTGTCACTGCCAATAGCCAGATCTAACCATTCATACGCGGCAATGGCAGCGCCCGAGCCAGATGAGGAGCCACTGGGATATTGATATCCATCTCCTCGGGGGTTGAATGGACAGTGCAGATCGACCCAGTCTGCAGTAGGACGATCGCCATTGGCGAATTGAACAGTACCCACCTTTCCGACCATTACAGCACCCAGGTCGAAGAGCCGCTGCACAGAAGGAGTGGTGCTATTCTGCTCGTCGTAGAGGTAGTAGTACGCACGACTTCCACCACTGGTTCTCAGACCCTTAACGTGGAAGATGTCCTTCACGGCTAGTCGGAGACCAGCTAAAGGTTTTTCAGCAGTAGGGGTGTAGTAGAGACGGGATGGGACGGCGACATTCTTCGTCATGACACCCTCTGTAACTCCAGTCATGGGGATGAAGCCACCATTCTCATCGCCAATAGCGGCCGAAATGAAGGCCAACGAGTCGTCCGAGTAGAGACGATAGGCTCTGAAAACATGTCCTGTGCGGGCGGACGCAAAGTAAGGTCCATTCGGAAGGGGAGTAGACAGGGAAGCATTGGATTCGGTTAGAAGCATCTTATTGTCAAATTGGTGCAAAGCTTCGCTGCCAGACAGTTCGTCGATTTGCGATGTTTCTTCAGAAGATGTCAAATAGACGGTTTGAAGAAATGCAGGTTGAAAGACGTCATCTTGCGTGGTAAAATTGGCAACTGTTTCACTGAGAAAATTACCGTGAACGGTACTAGCCGCCTGGATAACTGTAAATGGGATTATGTCGACATCGTCGCTTGCTTTATCGAAAACATTGTGTGAGAAATTTGCGATCGGGATTCCACTGAGATAGTAGGGTATGCCGTTGAGGGTGAGTGTTTGGCCGTTGGGCACGGTTTTTGCCCCCACGGCCGTTGAGAAGAGCACAAGAAGGAGAGAGGAGAGCATTTTAGCTTTTTTTTTCCTCCTTTTTCTAGATTTTACATTCTCTCACTGAGTAGTAGAGTTGTCTTAATATATATACGTGCTGGTAAAGACCGAAAGGACCAAGAAAACAAGAACCCAAGAAAACCGGCTTGGATTGGCAAGAGACCATTTGATCTCTTTTGGCAATGAAATGCAGTTGTTGAATGGGACAGCTGTGGCCAAGAGAATTCATTGCCTTGGCGCTCATCCCTCCGATTGTTCTCTTGTTCCCAGGCTTGGTATGTAGTGGGGAGCCTCGTATGTGATATCTGATATAGCACATGCACGGCACATCCCTCATGAATCAGGTCCACTGATTTGTGCACAAGGAGCAACAAGCGCCACGGCTTTGATACAGCTCCCCCATATTCACGGGCTGTGTCGAAAAAACGTGTCTAATATTATGTGGGTACTCGACGGCACTTTAAGGTTAGTCGTAAGGAGATCTTCAGCACTATATCTCACTATTAGACTGGTCTGATCTGAGCAGTGGGGCACAAGAAAATTCGGTGAGAGAATGTAGTTGCCTGTACGGAGGAGAAGACAAAAGTCCATAATCCTCTTGATATTCGTTCTGCTGAATTTGGGGATGAATGCGGATTGCGCTTGTACCTGGGATGAGTTCCATAACACGGACTCCATTGGTCAGTCGCATTCCCCATTGAGTGTCGAAGACTAGAACTATGTTCATAAGCGAAGGGGATCATAAAGTGTAAACTAGGAGGAAACATACAGAGTGCGAGCGCTGTACAGCAAGCCATGGCAACACCTTTAAACCCCTAGGCTGTGTACTCTGCTTTGGGCAATTGGAAGAGGTACTATGCCAGAACTATACCGTCAGTTCTGAATATAAAACGAGGCCCAGCGTTAATATACGAACAGCATCATCATCACTACTGGTAAATGAGAAAATGACGGTTCAAACCGCAAAAGCAGTCATAAAGCGATACTTTAGTCGAGCCTACGACTGTTCAAAATAGACAACCTCCAATTCCAATTGACTAGGAAATACGAGGCAAGTTTCATAAACACAGACAGCGGACTAAAGGCCATCAAATACCGAATTAACTAATAAATAAATACACCGGGGCCGATCGAGCTTGATGCTTTCAACACAGACAATTGAGATTGCAAGTAGCGGTATGCTATGAGAGGTAGAGAGTTGCCGACCTCCTACTAAAGGTAGGGGTCGCTACGTCCTTTATATACACAGGGTAGTTAAGCACCGTAGGGTTAAGCCCGTGGTGCAGTCACTAGGGCTGTAGCTAAAGTGAAAGGCTCCCTCACATAGCTCTGTAGTACCGTTACCTCAGCGTAGCTGCGATCACACAATACTACCTTCACAATGTCAGCCCAGCCTGATTCACAAAACGAAGCGAATATCCATACGCATTGAATATAGCCCCATTCCGGTCATTCAGAGAAATAAAGGTAAGTGAGCCCACCGAGTGTAATTTACAGTGGTGAGTTTATTTCGAGAGGAGCACCGCTGGCCGCTGGCCTCGTAGTAAGTCGCCTCGGACGAGTTGGTGCCTGTAGTAGGATTGTGGCTCAAGTACGACTGAGCGGACGGGGAAGCCCTATTTTTCAAGCCCTATGGCCGTATGCACCGGTTTCTTAGTTGTAGAGGATTACATAGAGTATAAGCTAAAAGATTCCCTACTTAACCCGGCACAGGGGGTCACAAACAGAGAGTTTTTTTTTTTTTTTTTTTTTTTTGGGACATATCGAGGTACGAGCATTGGGCGTCCATGGTAAAAGAGTCCATGACTGAATATAGAGCCGCAACAAGTATACCTAACTATTAAATCCGAGAGTTAAATTAATGAAGTTCAGGATTACTAAAAGGACATCACATTTGGTCCAGGGACCGTCCTGCAGTAATTGGGATAAAGTTACCAACTACCGAGATGTAGACCCACCACTTTTTCTTTTTCAAGGTAATTTAACAATGAAATACACCCACAGATATTAGATTAATATAAATTGAAGACAATATAAAATGTATATAAATTACTGTAAAAAGGAAGTCCCCAATCATCTGATCCACCCGCGATGACGTATGCGGTGTGACACCCCATGACGTATGCCACCTTCAATGAATTCATAGAATTAATATAATAATATCAAGGAAGTTGCATCAACCACAATCCACTCTGTTCCTGATGCTACCAAATTTCTATCATCGAGTTCGCCCGTGGTAAAGCAAAACCCATAGGGGACCCCTGAAAAGAAGAACAAGGAAAGAAAGGCAAATGGCCACCATTTCC